TCTCCCTGTTTTGCAGAGATAAATTCTGCTAACACACCAAATAAGAAAGCAATAAGAAAAACCGAATAAGGCAATAATAGTAAAGCACAACATATTACACATTTAAAGAATTTGTCAGTCTCCCCAAAAGTAGATGAATCATAAATAGTAGCTAGAAATAGCACCACGTAAAATGTATTTAATGATGTTAAAAACCTCTTGTGCTTTGCTTTGAGTAAATCTGAATGCTAAATCTAAAATCTGAATGCTAATACAATTTGAGAGAATTCAGCTTGGATTTTAGATAAGAACTGTAAGAAATTTACCATAGCAGGTCTTCTTGTCTGAAGAAAGCTTCATCAAGTGGGGGCATGCACAAGCAGCGCTCCTATTATGATTGATCAGACACATGTGAGAGCAGGGGCCTTTGCCGTCATTAGCTGCACAAGGATTGGGAGCTGTAATTACACAGTGAAATATTAACAGTGGAGAAGAAAGAATGTATTAGGAAACCTCTGGGGTTGACAGGGGTTGTTCACTTAATGATTCAAAGTAAAGTTTCCTACATAGCACCCTTACTAGGGTGATTAATATGACAGTGATAGATAATCATACACAGAAGTTACATTAATAAAAATATTTTTCCTCCACCACGATAACAAGTATGATAACTCCCTCAATTTCCTCTAAGATGAATGACATGCACCCTATTGCCCTAGAAGCAAAGGTTTCTCAAGAATTTAGTCTCAGAAACAGTCAGGATGTAACCATGGGTGCTTTTAAAAAATCCCCTCTAGCTTGCTTTCTTGAAAAATAAGTTTATTTTTCTTAGTTTGTAGTTAGCCCTAAACCATTAGCTAAGATTAAATCACAACATAAATGACAAGCCCAGCTCAGCTGGGGATGAGAGGAGGCCATCCAGACCCTTAAATAATACCAAGGAAGAGAGCAGAAACCAGACTGAGCCTTGGCATCATAGATGACATCAGAAGGCAGCTGACTGTCACACTTGGAGATTTTGCACCTGGCACTTTACACGTAGTCTCCATCCTACAACCCCGTAAAATCTCCCTTTCCCTGGCAATNTTGAAACACAAAGAATAAAAATCAAGGAAATATAACAAAACTTAAAAGAAATTAACTGAATTGATAAATACTCAATGTGGCTTTTGGAAATCTTTAACATTCCCCATATCAAAATGATAATGTAATGCATGCCATTTGTTTAAAAGAATAATTTTTTTTAAAAAAAGGAAATTCAGAAACAACTCATCCTCCTAAGAAAAATCAATGAAGAACAAAAAGTGGTAGAAAATAGCAGAAGTGAGGGTCCCAAAGATTCCTTAGTGCAATTCCCTCCCTCATAGAGTAAGCACTACACATTCTGGTCTTTCTTACCTTTTAAGTTTTCCTATTGTAATAATTGGAGTCCCTAAGGAATTGCAAGTTAGGGAAGCAAGAGAGTAGGTATAAAGGTTGCTGAGTAGAAAGCTATTGCAGGAGAGGAGGCGGGATGAAGAGGCAGTATTTGAGAACTGTTACCTAGCGTGGTAGATAAAAAGAGAAAAATCAAATTCTTCCACACTTGGGAAAAAAAAAAAAAAGACGAAAATAAGGAAGAAAGGAAGAACAGGAAAAACAGAAAAATAAAGAGGACTAAAAGAGAAGAAGGAAGGAGAAGAAGAAATTTGTTCAAAAACATTGGCATAGAAAATGCTGTTTCTCTCAGGGAAATTGAAAGCTTAATCCATGACAGACCAATAGTAGGTACTTGGACTTCACTTTGAACATCATTATTTTTAGGCCAGAATCATACTATCTTTTCTCAACATCTTACAATTGTGATAAAACACTTTTTAAAAGCAAAGATATCAAATTTCTATGTACATACTAAAGTAAAAAATTACACTGACTTTGCAGCCCAAATTATCTGTGTTAATGATATCACTGTAATGTATAATTCATAATATTTTGTGCTTCACAGAATGGAAAATCCACAAAGAATTCTTACTTTTCATTTTCATTTCTTCTCATTTTGAAATAATATTGTTAAATCTTTTGAGTTTCTTTTTAACCATGCATTTGAACAAAGCTACCTATTCTAATTACCAAATTAAGAAATTTGGCTCATAATACTCACATTTTAATATAAAGCAGTAATTAGCACATGATGACCCTAAGGCCACATCTGGGTCCACTGACTGTTTTTGTAAACAAAGTTTTACTGGTACATAGTCATGTACATTAGTTTACATATGGGATGTCTGCTTTCACACTGCACTAGCAGAGTTGAGTAGTTTCAGCAGAGATCATATGGCCTACAAAGCCTTAAAATATTTATCTAGCTCTTTACAGAAAAGGTTTGCCAACCCTTGATATAAAGCAATTAACTATTTTATGAGAACTACTATTGCAAAATTCAGTATCAAAACAGAAGTTGTAGGGCCGGCCTGTGGCTCACTCGGTAGAGTGTGGTGCTGATAACACCAAGGCCGCGGGTTNCGAGTGTCATTGTCAATCCTATAGTGGGCGTCCTGTAGCAACAAGTGCTGAGACACATGGGTCAGGGATTTCCCCACCAAGTCAGCCACCCATCGTGAGAAGGGGCACAAAGCAGAAGTTCCTCCCAGCTAACTCTCACAAGTTGCCTGACATTGAAGGGGAATCCCTCAAGACTTTTTCGTTTACAAGGAATAATTATTGAATTTAGTATATAATAAATTCAGGTAGAGCACAACACAGACATCGGGAGTTCCAATGGATGTCATTATTTTTTTAACCTACCATATAGACTCCCTTCAGCACAACACTTAAAATTTTCCCTAGCAAACTGCTGTTACATGTATACCCTTCCTTCAGTCCATTTGCTTTTTTTTCATATCAGAGGCCTGTGTAAAGAAATGTCTGTCCTCTTTCATTATGAAGTCATCTACTTTTTTATTGTTATTTTTTGTTTTGTATTAACTGATTCCTAGGCTAAAGTTTGCTCCACATACCAGCTAAAATCCATTGTATAAAAACATACGAATTTAGAACAGAATATTAAATTTGTAGTTTGATGTCATTCTTTCTTTTGTGTTTCTTGTTCTGTCATCATGCCTTTTGGAGAAGATTTTAATTTCGATTAATCAATAAATATTATTTTTAATCTTATTTTTTATAGAGCCTGTCTAGTAGAATAAGGTCTCTAGAACTAGGCTACTAAATTGAAGGCAGAAAAGAGTTTCACCTTCTGATCCCACCAGCAATATCTTAGCTTTCAACTAATGAATGGTATCTTCCTAACAGATAGACCTATCTCTCAGAGTAGTGATAGGGTTCAGGATATGCCACCCCGAAATATGCCACCTTGGCATATGGAAAATAGCAGAAGCAGAGGAGGCCCCACTCTACATTCCTGAAGCAGGTCATAAAACCTAGGAAGGATTTTCTGAATGTTGGAGAACAGAAAACAAGGTGCCAAAATATGGGGCTTTGGCATGCTGAGTGCTTTGACTTAAAGAAAATAGAAAGGTCTCAGAAATAAGCCTCAGAATCAAGGTATCCTTCTGACCTTCCCCTCACCTCCATCTCTCTGATCCTGTTTCTTTCCCAAAGCAGAAGGGACTCTCTGTAATTTCCTTATCTGATTAGGGAAGATTATTCCCAAAAGAAATGCAATTATCTTAAAACCTCCTCCCTAGGAATCTCATCAAATAACCAGGAAAGATTAATCACTGGAAGTTAGACTTTTTATCTGTTCTTCCGAGGTAAGCTCACAGACAGTATGTAGGAGACTTTATCTGCATAATAAGACGATCTTTGTTTACAATGCAAGTCTGCCCCTCACCTTCCTGCCACCTCCCCCAAAACTCAGAGGAACTTTGTCCCAGGACATTGTTCTTTGGGCTCATTCATTTCCCCTGAATATCATTTACTCCTACACATCCCATCTCCATATCCGCTATGAAGAAGAATATATATAAGCATCTGGACCTCACTGGGGTTATGGATAATCATTCTCTTGAGATTCCCCTGTGCTTATTATGCATGTTAAATAAATTTTGCCTTTTTCTCCTACTGATCTGGCTTTTGTCAGTTCATTTTTAGTGAAACTTTAGTGAGTGAAAAATCAGCTTCCCCTCTGTCCCTACGTGACTTTCCCTTGAATCAGGACATAAAACTCTCATGTGAGAGGTACCCTCCATCTACCCAGAGGAAAGAAACATCCTTATCAGTGTGGACAAAAGGTCACAGAGAAGAATCTGAAAAGACCTCGCTGAGTTTCCAGTTTCTTACCATTAGATCACACCTCCTTTGTCCTATCATATTTCTCCACAACTGCCCACTCTTCATCAAACCTGGTATAAAAATACACAGGTTTTAACCATTTCTTTGGGTCTTCATTTCCTCATGAAGGTTCCCATGTCATGTAAAACTTAAGCTTGTATGCTTTTCTTGTTTATCTGTCTTTTGTTATAAAGGCCTCAGTCATGAACCTAGAGTGGGTAGGGATATTTTTCCTCTGCTACAAAAGTTAATATCAGTCCTTTAGCATTTTGAAACACAAAGAATAAAAATCAAGGAAATATAA